AGTAGATATACAGTTGATTTTCTTTTTCACTCAAAACCAAGATACTCCGCAGGGGGCTCATCACCATTTCTAACTGCCACTTACACCATCTTCCAAAGCAACATATTATGAGAATTAAATGAGTAAGGGCAAGTCAAGCTAAAGCCATGTGTTGACTGTTAAATTCTTGGCCAGTAATAAATGTTGAGGATTCTTTCAAGTAACTGCTTCCCTTAAGGTGGAATGTTCTTTTTGAAAATAACAAACTGGAAAGATTATTTCTTCTAAATAGTAAACTGTGCGTTTTTTTTTCCTTTTGCAAGCTTGTCAAATTACTTTGGTTTCTGTTTCTTCTTGTTAAAAACAAACATGTTGGAAATTATTAGCATAACTCCAAATATTTCACTCTGGCAGTTTGCTAGCTCACAATCTTAAAATCCCATTACTACACATTTGTAGATACCAAACTTGATCCTAACATAATCCTTTAAAAAAAACTGCATTTACTGGAAACTACCCATTCAGAAGCAGAAGGTATTTGTTAGTCGCTTTTGCAAATTCCATTCACACCACAAATCTGTAGCCAGGGATGGAGTGTTCTTTTTGACCTTCAAGTTGTTCTCTTACTCTAAGTAAATTTGTATTCCTCAATCAACTGTGGAATTGTTCTGCAACTAAGGGAATAGGTTAAAGTCATAACATATTCTCAGCTGAAATATTAGTTACACAGAACATGGATATTACTGATTGTATTAAAGAAAAGACAATCATCATGCATGTGTATTTGTCCACAGGTACTCCTAGACAGCCATACTGCTGTTTTTTTTTGTTCACTGTTTTTACAACAATGAAAGATTTAAGTGATATTCCATGGTACATAAGAAAATTAATTTGTGTGATCACTGGTTAGGTCAGTACAAAGTAACTTTGCTGTATCTATATCTGCGTTCCTTACAAATGATCTCTCTTAGAAATTATGTATTCTCAACTAAAATTCTAAATTTTCAAAGTTCCCTGCTCATAACACAGACTGCTCTACACCCCCTCTTAGTTCACAGTCATTACTGCAATCTCTCCATGAAATATTATTTAACTGTTGTTACAGTAGTAAAAGTAACAACAGTAATACTTGTGGGCCAGTTAGCTTGGATGGCTAGTTTGTGATACAGAGTGACACCATCAGCATGGGTTCAATTCCCATACTTGCTGAGGTTACCATGTCGGACTCCCCTCACCTGAGGTGACCCTCAGGTTAAACTACCACCAGTCATCTGTCTTTAATGAGAACACAGACCTATGGTCTGATAAGATTATGGTGACTTTACCTTTTACCTTTACAGCAGTTACTAGCCTTCTCCAAACATAAACACATTTCTAAAATATACAAGTGAAAGGAAGATACCAAGAAAGATCACAGGAATTGATAGTATCACTGAGGTCATGATATTCCATTGAACTGATGTCAAAAACTCATCGGGCATCAAATAGCCTATTATAAGTGCAGCGTTCAGGAACTGTTACATTTTGGGTTTTGTAACCACAGTAGCCTAACATAGGTCGTCAATCATATATAAGGAATTTTCAGATAGTTTATTAAGTTTGTTAAGTAGCAGTTTTAAATATGATACATTTTCTGATTAGGCAAAGTATGGAAGTACATGGCAGTCTGGGGTAGTGGGGTGTTCGTCTCTGACATTTCAATGTCTTTGGTGGTAACAGTCTTTGTTTTTCCCTCAAGCTGACGTAGGGACGCACCTGGTCTTCTCCCAAGAAATGATGGCTCATACCCCTCAACCTCTCTTTCCCTTTAAATATAGCTTTTTATTGAGACTGACAATCTATGCTGTGTCAATCACTTCTCTGAATCCTTTTGGCAAGTGACCATGAGACCACTACTAATGACATCAAGATGACTAATGTCCCCCTCCTCTGAAGGTTAGTTACTATTCTTTCTCGGGTTGAAATTTCCTATTTTCCCAAGCACTGTACTAACATTGGGGTACATATGGTGCTAGATAAATCTTTGATGTCAGTTCAAAGGAACACTATAACCTTGGTGATTGATTCTCGTGACCTTTTTTGTACCTAGGTTATATACAAGAAATTTGTTTTGGAGAAGGTTAGTTGCTAGTATACAAACAGTTAGATAATATCCCATGCTACATAGGGAATACATGAACAGTTTAGTTTTAAAGGAACTCCAATTTCCGACAAGTTGAATGTAACAAAGAAACAACAGCTGGCTCTTAGCTACCAAGCCTACATGGTGCAACCAATATTCCCAACTCAAACAAGTGTAAAATTGCTGCTTTGGGAATCAGGTTGCTTGGAGGAAACTGGTTGCAATTTCCAAGTACAAACAAGCACTGCATTCATCATACTAAAATAAATAGCTGCGGATGCTGGAAATCTGAAACAAAAACAGAAACTGCTGGTGGAACTCAGCAATCTGGCAGCAATTGTTTCATGCACAATCAATGTTTCGGTTGGACTTGAATAGAGAGAAAAGAGTCTTTTCAGGGCTGGCAGCAAGTGACTAATGGAGTTCCGCAGGGGTCCGTGTTGGGATCCAGTCAATTCACATTATACATTAACAATCTAAACGAAGGAACTGAAGGCATTGTTGCTAAGTTTGCAGTTGACACAAAGATAGGTGGAGGGACAGGTAGTATTGAGGGAGCAGGAAGACTGCGGAAGGACTTGGACAGGCTGGGAATGTGGGAAAAGAAGTGGCAGATAGAATACAATGTGGAAGAATGTGAGGTCATGCACTGAAGAATAGAATTATAGAATCCCTATAGTGCAGAAAGAGGCCATTTGGCCTGCTGAGTCTACACTGGCCCTTAGAACAGCATCCCACACAGATCCAGCTCCCCAACCCTATCCCCATAACTCTGCATTTTGCCATGGTTTATGCACCTAGCCTGCACATCTCTAGACACTATGGAGCAATTTACCATGGCCAATCCATTTAACCTGTACATTTTCGCACTGTGGGAGGAAACCAGAGTAACCAGTAGAAACCCACGGAGACATGGGGAGAATGTGCAAATTCCACACAATCATTCAAGGCTAGAATCATACCTGGGTCCCTGGTGCTGGGTGGAGGTGGGGGAGGGGGAGTTGGTCGGGGGGAGCGGTGCTAACAACTAAGCCATGGTATTGGCCCAGCATAGAGGTATAGATGATTTTCTAAATGGGGAAAGGCTTCAGAAATCTGAACCACAAAAGGCCTTTGGAGTCCTAGTTCAGGATTCTTTAAGGTAACATGCAGGTTCAGTGGGTACTTAGTCAAATCCAATGCTAGCATTTATTCTAAAAGGGCTAGTACACAAAAGCATAATGTATTGCTGAGACTATATAAGGCTTAGATCAGACTGCATTTGGAATATTGTGAGTAGTTTTGGGCCCCATATCAAAGGAGGAATATGCTGGCATTGGATAAGTTCCACAGGAGGTTTACAAGAATAACTCCAGAAATGAATGACTTGTCATGTGAGAAGTGGTTGATGACTCTGCAACTGTACTCGATGGAGTTTAGAAGGATGATGGTGGATCTCACTGGAACTTACAGAATACTGAGAGACCTGGCTGGAGTGGATGTAGAGAAAATGTTTCCACTGGTAGGAGTGACTAGGACCCCGGGGCACAGCCTCATAATGAGGGGATGACACTTTAGAACTGAGATGAGGACAAACTTCTTCAGCCAGAGGGTGGTAAATCTGTGGAACTCATTGCCACAGAATGCTGTGGAGGCCTAGTCATTGAGTGTATTTAAGACAGAGATAGAAAGGACTTTGATTGGTAAGGGGATCAAGGTTTATGGGGAGAAAGCAAGAGAATGGGGTTGAGAAATATATCAGCCATGATTGGTGCAACAGACCTGGTGGGCTGAATGGCCTAATTCTGCTCCTATATCTTATGGTCTTATGGTCAGATGGCAGCAGAGTGAACCATTGGCTTTGTTAGATGACCTTACAGTGGATGTCAGCAGCGACAGTTTTGATTGTGGAGCAGGAAGAACACTCCAGCTATTCCTAAGTGTACTATAACGTAAGTAAGTAAAAAACATAAAAATGACCTTTTGGATGATAGTCTTCAGCAGCCCATTTTAACAGCATTGGTTTATTGAATACCTAAGGACCACGGTGACTACTGCATTCAGTTATATACGCTGACTTTTCCGTATATGTTTGTAATCATCTCCTAAATTAGAAAGGCCGAGTATTCAAAGCATGACATTTATGAAAGCAAGGCTGCATCTTAGTCCATTAGGTGTCAGTTTACAATGCTTTTTACTTTTCTTTATTCTAGGACTGTGAGCTTTACTGCCAAGACCAACATCACCTATCCCTAGTTGCTCTTAAGGTTGGAGTGATTCATCTTCTCTATCCACTCAGTCAATGTATATCCATTGCATTATGCAGCAGTTCAATATCATTTCAGGTGGTAGTTAAGAGAAAATATTACTCTGAATCTGGAGTCATTCTTAAGATGGCAAATTTCCTCCCCTGAAGGTTATTAGTAAGCCAGATAGGTTTCGAATAACAACCTTTTTGTTTTGTGGTCATTTATTGATGGGAATATTCCAAGTTTATTAATTAATTGAATTTTGATTCCTGTAACTACCCATGGGATTTGATCTCATATCCAAAACTAGACCAGTAACATTACCACTATGCTACTGTGCCCCACTGAAAGAATGTTGTTCTTGGTCTCTGATTTGGAATTACAGTACTCCAGATATTAAAAGCACAAATTTCTTTTTTATGTATTTTACACATCTCAGATCTCAAGATAAAGATGAAAAAATCAAAGTTACCTTCACAAAGAAGTTGCTGGATCCTCAAAGTCTCTCACCAATGCAAATTTCAAGGAAGAAGCGACATCAGAAAATGTTACAGGATCAGAGTTCTGGAAAAGAGAAGGTAAATTGTTACTAAATATATTGCCAAGTTGCATGGCACTTGGTAGCAATTTTAAATTTCTACAGAGTTAATTTTAACTATAGATTTAATATCCACCTATTCTTTGTTACTTCTTTTGAGAAAACCAATAGACATTCAAATTAAGCTGTTTTCAAAACCTAGTTTATCCAGCATGAAAGATGAAGATTCTTGTTTATTATTCCTGGAGGTAATTTAGGCTACTCTGTCTGGGCCAGCATTTACTGACCATTTCTAATTGGCCTGATGCAAGTAATCGTGAGCTGCCTTCTTGAACTGCTGCAGTCCATTTGATGAAGATACACCCAATGGGCTGTTAAGGAGGGAGTTCCAGGATTTTGACCCAGTGACAGTAAAGAATAACAATATATTTGTAAGTCAGGATGGTCAGTAGCTAGTAGGGAAATGTGTAGTTTGTGGTGTTCCCATATATCGGTTGCCCTATTCCTTCTGGATGGTAGTGGTCATGAGTTTGGAAGATGCTGTCTAGGGATGCTAAGTGTATTTCTGCACTGCAGTTTGTAGATGGTGCTCACTGCTGTTATTATGCTTTGGTGGAAGACAGAGTGAGTGTGTGAGAATGTGGTGCCAAGATTACTGAGTGTTGGATCTGCACTCATCCAAGCAAAAGGGGAGTATTCCATCACTTTTCTGTTTGTGCCTCATAGGCAGGCTTTGGGGAGTTAGGCAGTGAGTAACTTGTTGCAGGATTCCTGTCTTTAACTTATTCTTATAGCCACAATATTTATATGGCTAGCTCAGTTCAGTTTCTGGTGAATGGTAACCCCCAGGATTGTCATGATCAGTATCACTTCTTAGCTGATGATATCCATACTGATTAACAAAAAGTTTAATCAGTATGGATATCATCAGCAAATACATTGAATTGAAAATTAAACCACATTGAAATTTTTAAAAATCACAAATTAACATTGGCATTAATTCACCACTGTCATTCAGTTGAATGGAACAATGTGCAACATTCCTGAAACCCTTTCTTCACCATACCTCCCCTGTCCTTCTGCCCTCACACAGACATCAGTCCACCATCCATCCATTCAGTGACAACAATGCACAAGCTGGTTGAAGCAATCATGCTGCTTTTCACTTGCCACTCCATGAACATCTGTTCAACCCACCTACTGTCCACCTTCAATCTCAACACTCCATATAGAGGAGCCTTCCTGAACAAAATCGACCAGCAAACAATGTTCAGATCAAGGAATACAAAATATGGGAATTACCAACAAGTCCCTTGTGATAAGCACTATCTATTGAATGACAAGTTTTTAACATCCATGGCGAGAGTGGTCAGTGCTAAACAGGTTCAGGAGAAGCCAGGGACATTGTGCAGCCAATTTTCACAAGTAGCCCTCCATATAAACTCTTGTGGACTTGTGGAAAGACCCAATAATGCTGTATATTACCAATAAGTATTCCTTATACAGACTAAGTGGAAGATTAATCACATTAAATTCAACAATTAAAGTCACTTGGCTTCAGGGATTTGAATTCACTAAATAAATAAATTAAATACTTATGATTGAATCTAACAATGTAATGATATTATTACTCAGATATTTTTCACAAAGCATTTAGTTATCCCCAGATTACTACTGAGGACTAAGTCTAATAATTTACTACCTAAGTCTGCCTTGACGTACTGTTTAAGAAAAATCATTAAAAGGATCAACGAATAATTTCACTTTGCTTTCCTTTATATTTGAGTACCCCACACTAGACTATTAGATGTACGTTGTTAAAATGTCCAATGATAACAATGTTCTAATATTTTTCAATGTTTCATCTTTTGATTTACTTTCTGGAATCAATTTTTAATCTGCGAACAGCCAAACTATTGCAATCACACATGCCTGCTGACCAGTGCTGTCCATATCAGTTAGTGTCTTATCACTTTTTATATGTAAAGATGCAAATAATACAATGGTAACAGCACAGAATGAGGATGTTAGGCCTATCAGTGCTTCCCCTCAGGAAGAACAATGGTATCGGTCCCCTTTCCCTCCTCTTTCCCTGGAGTGCTCCATATATTTTTGTCAGGAGCCCATCCAGTTCTTTTTTGGAAGTCCCCATACACCTCATTAATGCTGTTATCCTCATCAACAATTGTGTTGCTTTTTTAAAAAACTTAATCATATGAACAAGGAACAAATGTAGGCCACTCAGCCCTTCAAGCCTGCTCTGTCATCCAATAAGATCATTGCTGATCTGATTTTAACCTCAACTCTAGATCTCTCCATATCCTCGATAATCTTTCATCCCTGATCATCTTTCATTTAAGATTCAAGCAGGGGGAGGCAATGACCTAGTGGTATTATCGCTGTACTGTTAATCCAGAGACCCAGCTAATGTTCTGGGGACCTGGGTTCAAATCCCACCATGGCAGATGGTGGAACTTGAATTCACTAAATATCTGGAATTAAGAATCTAATGATAACCATGAATCCATTATCGATTGTCAGGGGAAAACCCATCTGGCTCACTAACGTCCTTTAGGGAAGGAAACTGCCGTCCTTACCTGGTCTGACCTACATGTGACTCCAGACCCACAGCAATGTGGTTGACTCTTAACTGCCCTCTGGGCAATAAATGCTGCCTGGCCAGTGACACCCTCATCCCATGAATGAATTGAAAAAAAAACTCTATTTATCTTTGCCTTGAACATGTTTAAAGATTCTGCATCTGTAGCCTTTTGAGGAAGGGAATTCAATTCATTCAACCTCTGAGAGAAATGTTTTTCCTTCATTTCAGTCTGAAAAACGTCTTTTCTTTAAACTATGACTCCTAGTTCACAATTCTTCTGCAAGAGGAAACATATTTTTGATATTCACATGGTGAAGTCCCCTTAGGATCTTAGATGTTCATTTTATGACTCTTCTCACCCCCAGAGGATACAGGCCTAGCTTTCCAGCATCTCCTCATAAGGAAATACCCCATTCAAGGTATTACTTGAGTAAATCTTCTCTGAACAGCTTCAAAATCATTAACATCCCTCTGTAAATATGGTGACCAGTACTATACATTATACTCCAGATACAGCCTCATCAACGTCCTGTATAACTGGAGCATAACCTCCTACTCTTGCATTCAATTCCCCTCACAATAAACCATAACATTCTGTTAGCTTTCCTGATTACTTGCAGTGCCTGCATACTAACCTTCTGTGATTCATGCACTAAGACACACAGATATCTCTGCATCTCAGAGCTGTGTAGCCTCTCATCATTCGGATAATGTGCTTCTTTCTTATTCTTTACGCCAAAATGGACAATTTCACACTTTTCCACATTGTGTTCCTTTTTACAGGTCTTCACCTATCTGTATCCCTTTGTAGGTTTCTTATGTCCTCTTCTCAAATTCACTTTCCTACCCATCTTAGTACTGTCAGGAAATATAGCTACATTATATTTGCCCCTTCATTTATATAAATTGTAAAGAGTTAATGCCCTTGTGTCACACCACTTATGGTATCCTGATAGACCTATTTATTCCTACATTTATTTCCTGTTAGACACCCAATCTTCTATTATTATGTCTTCTTCTACTTTCTTACCTATCTTTGTGTCATTCAGGTTAGGTGAACATGATTTGCTGTTAGCAAATCTATGCTACCTTTCCTTAATTGACCCATGTATTTTCATGTGATTTAATGTTATCCCACATGGTTGTTTCTAAAAGCCTTTCCACTACCAAGCTTTTAAACTGAATGACATCTGGTTGTCGGCTTTACTCTTGCATCTTTTTGAACAAGAGAGTAACGTTTGCAATTCTCCAGTCGTCTGCACCACCACCACATCTAAGGAGGATTGGAAGGTTATGATTAGTACCTCTGTAATTTCCACCTGTACTTCCCCCATCAGCTTTGGATGCACCTGATCCAGTTCTAGTGATTTATCAACTTTAAGTATAGGCAGTCTTTCTAGTATCCAGGCTGGGGGGAGGGGGTTTGTTGATGGTGGCATAGTGGAAATGTCTGTTATGGACCAGACCAAAGCCCCACAAAATATATTGAGAAGATAGCCCAGACCATAACTTTTTCTTATTTTAGAGGCAACTAACAGGCGTTGCATTCTGGCTGCAAAATCAATTGGTCAAGCTACTAGCCTTGAAGCAAAACACACTTTATTCATACACAATAGTTAAAATACAACAATAGAAAGAAGAAATTAGAATAACTTAGCAAATCTCTATTAGAAAACTTAACAGAATAATAGATTATTTAACTACTAAATATTAACTGTTCCAATATGGTAAAATCCCATAAACACACTTGGCAAAGGCAAATTCAGTGAAATATATTGTCTCACATGCAAATATCCAATCCAGGAGGAAAATATCAAGAGAAAACTGTGGGAGAGAGTAGGTGGGAGAGATGTACTGCAGCTTTCAAATCCAGCTTCAAGACCCCAACAACTTTTACTGAAAACTAAAACTAATAATCCTGATTCTGTAGGAGATTGACCCCACCCATTCAGGCTGCTTCTGTTGTTCCAACTTTATAAAAACAAAACACCAAGGCCTCACAAGCATCTTGGCATCTAAACAGACATCTTGGCATGCCTATCTTAAAATTTCTCTACAAAACAAAAGCCAGAACAAAATACACCTTTTAAAGCCATAGTAATGTCACATGTCACAAGGCTGCTATTCCAGTGGCATTGAGGTGGTCTGTCCTCGTTGGTTGGATGGCTGCTTCGTGATGCAGTGTGATGCCAAAAGTGCTGGCTGAACATTACGCAGTGGGGACATGGGTTCAAATCCCACCATGACAGATGGTGGAATTGGAATGCAATGATTTAACTAGAGTTGAAAGCTAGTCTCAGAAATTGTGACTGTGGAACTAGCATCAATAATTGAAAAAAAAAACACCACCGGTTTCATTAATACCCCTTAGAAATGAAATCTGCCATTCTTACAGAATCTGGTCTACAGGTGACTCCAGACCAACAGCAACATTGTTG